TTTCTCTATTCCCATTTTTCTCAGATTTGCAGATTCCGTCATGACTTCCGGCGGAAATTCAATCGAATCCTCCGCCGTAACGACGGAGGATAAGATGTTCTTCTGTTACCAATGCAATCAAACCATCACAATCTCGATTTCTTCATCAGCTGATCCTTTTTGCCCTCTTTGCAACGAAGGTTTTCTCGAAGAATACACCGAACCTAACCCTAACCCTAATCCAAGCCCTAATCTGATCTTCCCTATGTCAGATCCAATCTCAGCTCGTTTCCCTTTTATCCCAGTCATGGACTTCACGAATCTGAGCTCGATGGAGTCACAGTCTACACAGGAGCCTCCTGATGCTTTCGATCCGGTTAGATTTATCCAGAACCATCTTCAACAACTGCAATCAAATGGTATCAACGTTCAATTTTTGTTCGAGAATCAACTCTCGGATCAAGCTAATCCGTTACCAGGAAATCATGGTGATTACTTCTTTGGTCGTGGTCTTGAGGATCTGATTCAACAACTAGCTGAAGATGATCCGAATCGATATGGAACTCCTCCAGCTTCGAAATCCGCCATTGATGCGTTACCAATTGTGAAAGTGACGAAAGATATGTTGTTGAAATCGGAAATGAATCAATGTGCTGTTTGTATGGATGAGTTTGAAGATGGTATTGAAGCTAAGGAGATGCCTTGTAAACATGTGTACCATCATGATTGTTTGCTTCCATGGCTACAGCTGCATAACTCTTGTCCTGTTTGTCGACATGAGTTACCTACGGATGATCCTGATTACGAGAACAGGGCTCGTGAAGGTCAGACGAGCGGAGATGGGCAGGGATCAGGTGAGAGTCAACAGACACCGAGGAGGTTTAGTATATCGTTCCCATGGCCATTTAGAAGACAGGATGATGCAAATTCGGATTCTGGAAGTGGTTCTGATATGGATACTAGACAAGACGAATTGGATTGAGGTTTGTGATTATATATCTTGCTTATCTGATTTGCTTGTTGGCTGTGTGCAAAGTGGTTGGTCTACTTCTAGGTGTCTCTGAGAATTGATAGATACGAAAACTGACTCATTTGTTCGAAGCATCTGTTTTTATAAGAGTTGGTATTCGATGGCATTCAAATTTCTTAACTTGACTTAATCTACCTTATGCATGATAAGATTGTAGATTAAAAGCAAAGCAAAAATATAGAATTTTCTTGCTTGCTCTTAGCTGCTCCCCGGTATTAGCAGTAGCATTCCTAGCTTCATTGACTGGTCTATGAGAAACTAGACTCGGATTTGTGGTACATGAATCTTCGATGTCCCTAGAGTTATGTTTCTCATTTGATCAGAAGATATGTATGATGATGCTGCAAGCCGTGAGACATTAGTTTTGGGTGATGTTGAAGCTTTGTAGATAGGGAAAAAATGTTCATTGTTGCAATAGGTTATGTAAATGCCTTGTAGATGACACAATATGTTACTATGTTTTGAATTTCTTGGTTTTCCGTAGCAGTTTTATATTGCACGATTTCGTCTTTTCTCTGGATTTGGCATGTGATATTCTCATCAACTTGTCGAAAAAACACTTGTTGTTTGCCTTGGTTTTGATTGTGGTGCTGAATTAAAAGAGCTTTGTTGAATTTAGAATTCTTTTGGGGATAACCTCTTACTCCAACAGTGAGGTGAAGATTGGAGAATTTGTACTTATCCGAATTTGTAAAGGGTAACGATGATGTAGTGGTACAGTTGTATTATCTAGCCAGCTTGAGCGGAACTGGTCTAGTATGTTGCATTTTTGGGAGTCTTAGGACCACAAAACCTTACCGTAACTTTGAAACAATCGAGTCTATTTTAAACCGGTCGTAGGACTAGCTGGTTAAACCCATCACAACACATCTAGTCCGGGCTCGTGTGATTTGATTACAATAGATAGTGATTAAGTTGCTTCATGTTTTGTTCTGTCTTAAAGCTAAAACCCAATGTTGATTTTGTTTGTGTGCAGTCACAAGCAAAAGTCTCTTTGCTTGCCTTGGAAAAAACGTGAAGGAAAGCCTACAAGTACAAAAGACGATAAGATTTGTATAACTTAT